TAGAAATGGGTATACACAAGAAAAAGAAACGAGAAAAATGAGATTTCTATATATTAGGCCAGACTCATGGCTCAAGGTTTCACTAGAGACTAGGAATTGACTTTGATAAGACGTATGCACCAATGATAGATGTGATTACATTTAGATACTTAATTGGTTTGTTAGTCTCAGAAGGAGTTGATATGCATCTTATGGTACATTGGATACTAATATCTACATGAAAATCCTCGAAGAACTTAGAATGTTAGGAGCAAATAAAGCAAGTCCAAGGAACACTTATTCAATAAGATTGCAAAGATCGTTATATGCGTTAAAACAATCTAGACGAATGTGCTATAATCATCTCAGTGAATATTTAATAAAGGCAGGATACGTTAATAATCCTATATGCCTATGTGTTTGTACAAAAAATGTTAGAATTAGGATTTACCATTGTGGTAATGTATATCGATGATATGAACTTAATTAGAACTCTTGAAGAGCTTACAAAAGTTTTTGAGTACCTAAAAGATAATTTGAAATGTGGATCTAGGGAAAACAAAATATTGTCTCAACTTGTAGATTGAGCCTTGTTCAAATGAAATACTACTACATCAGTCAAATTATACTAAAAAGATCCTAAAATGTTTTAATATGGATGAGGCTCACCCCTTTGGTACCCCTAATTATTGTTTGGTCTCTTGATCCTAAGAAGGATCCATTTCGTCCTAAAGAAAACGACGAAAAAATACCTGGTCCTGAAGTACAATATCTGAATGCAATTGGTGCATTATTATATTTAACACAATATATGAGATCACATAACATTTGCAGTAAATCTGTTGGCAAAATTTAGCTCTACACCAACTTGTCGACATTGGAATGACATTAAACATATTTTCGTTACCTCAATGGAACAATAGACTTGGGATTATTTTATCCAAAGAAACCTATTAATGATCCCAAATTAGTTGGTTATGCAGATGTTAGGTACCTTTCTAATCCCCACAAAGCCCACTTGCAGATGAGATATGTTTTTACTTACAATGACACTGCAATATCATGATACTTTACAAAACAAACATTGGTTGTTACTTCTTCCAATCATTCTGAGATTTTTGTGCTTCATGAATCTAGTCAAGAATGTGTATGGTTAAGATATGTCATCCATTATATCGAGAATAAATTCAAGTTACCACGTACCTTAGATAATCATATAATTATAAATAAAGACAATGCAACATATATTGTTCAAGTCAGAGGAAGATATATTAAAGGAGACAAAACTAAGCATATTTCACCAAAGTTATTTTACACTTACAAACTTCAATAGAGTCGAGAGATTAATGTTAAACAAATAGTTATGGTTAAGACAGAGGAATTAGAGAGAAATATGCTGAAGTAGAAGCGTTAGGGTTAAGAGAGAGAGGGATTGGGAGAAATTTAAAGAAGTAAAGCATATTATAACATTTGATTAAGAGAGAGAGGAATTAAAGAATATTATAACGTTTGAGAATATCTGTCGCTTGAAAGTAAGATTTACTTTGGGATCAGAAAGTTATTTTGCACTCCAGTATTGTGACCATTGATAATATTTTTGAAATTTGAAAATGATTCAAATAAATATTCAAAATTATTGAAATTCTAATTTAAAAATTATTTAATATATTTTAGGAGAATTTAATTAAAAATAATATATATATATATAGACACACACTACACTTAAAACATATTAACGATGAAGAAGACGAGTTGGGACAATTATAATCATTTCAAACTCTAGGCCATCCAGCTTGACTATTCTGTTGCACTTTTATTTTATTAAAAGAAGACAAACAAAATTACCGAATTTTTTTGTTTTTATTATCCACCCGTGAGAGATAAAGACTACTCTAAACCGTGGTTTTAAAACCCGACCCAGCCCGGCCTGGCTTGGCCCGACCGGTTGAGCTGGCAACTGGTGATTGAGCCGAGTCGGTTCAACTAAAAAACTAGAATTTTCAAATGACCCAATTTGAACCGTGGTTGGACCGGATTTTTTTGTTACGAATTGCTGGTCCAACCGATTCGACCTAGTGGTTGAACAACCTTTTTATTATTTTTTTATTTTTTATATGTCGTGTTGATGTCAGAATAACGTCATCACGCTAACATCAACATGATGAGATCACAGTTCGACCCAGCGGTTGAACCAGTTTGACAAGCCAACCCGGTGACGTGACCGGGTCACTCCCCAGGTCGGGTTTTAAAACCCTACTCTAAAACACCCACAAGAGATTTGCATTAGTATTTAAAGTCCTTCTAGAGAATAAGCAAAAATTCAAATGATGCAAGGGTAATAGAGTAATTTCTTGTGTAAATATTTGCAAACAAAAATGGCAATATAGTTTTTCCACAAGATTAAACTAATTAAAAAAAAAAAAAAAAATCTCTCTTTCTTTCCGTTATCTTCTTCCACTTATTCACAAACTAATAAATAATAATCAATGGCAATATAGTTTTTATTAGGGGCTTTTGGATATTTTTAAGGGGTTTATGATTTTTTTGGAGAATTTTTGTAATTTTGAGAGATATTTTTTTAAAATTGAAAAAATAAAAAGATAAACGATACAATTTGGTTCAAAAAAATGTACCATACCATACTATACCGTAAAATTCTTAGGATAAAAAAATGATTACAATTTTTTTTACTAAAAAAACCATACCGTACCGTACGGTCTCCCTGGTTTTTGTCCTCCCTAGTCCCTACTAATAACACAGACAACTAAAACCCTCTCTTCATTTTTTTTCCTTCCTCTTCCATTATTCTTCTTTGTCAATTTGGGCATTCATGCGGTGCAGTCCATATTGTTTAGATCACCAGCATCCCATATTGTTGACATCACTCCCCATTCCTACCAAAACACTTGATCTTATCTGACAGTTGTTTCACAATTGTGTTTTTTCTTCTCCTTTTCAGTTTCCCTTAATTTTACTAAAAGCAATTCTCTTTTCAACAAAATTGTTATATTTTTTATGTTTATGAATTACAAATATGAAAGATTTCCAAAAGGATTCTCTAGTCTTTAGAAAAGAAATTATGTTTCACAATTTCTATCATCCAATTTCGTAATGTGTTTATTTTTAAATCATGTGTATATTAAAGATTACACCATTTTCCTTTTTCTTTTTTTTATTAATTATCAGATCACATTATTAAATTTTCTCAAGATCTAGTCCTGTTTTATAAGATTTTAGATTTTCTCCTGAAAAATATGATTGAAGTTGTTCGAAACTGAACAAGTTAAAAAACACCCTAAACATATGATGATGTTTATGTTTCCATCTTTTCCCATAAATAGATTTAATAGGAAGATTCATGCAAATTAATTACAATCATGATTAAAGTTTTTATCACTATAATATTATACAATTAGTCAAGAATTATTTGTCATAAACTTTTCTTTTATAAAAACAATATTAATTATATTCTCAAGTTGAATAATTTAATAAAAAGAATATTAGTACTTTTATATTAAATAAAATTGTCACTATTAAAACTATATCCATTTGGGGATCCTCACCCCGTCCCCGTTTTGGCCAATTTGGGGATTGAGATGGGGGGGATGGTCTAGGGATCACAATAATGTAAATTTAGTCTTTGTATTTTAATAGACAATTTCAATTTGTCACTAAGTCAAAAGGTTTATTTTTAAATATCGAGACTTTATAAAATTTGTCTCTTATAAAATTATGTTGTTTAATATTCTTTGGGAAATAAAATCAATGTGCCTTTTTATGAAATAAAAATAAATACTTACATACTATTTTAGCTTTTCATCTGGATTCAAAGGTTAGAGTGCATCTCTTTTTGTGGGTTTTAGTGTAGACTTGGCGTTGTGAAGTTGGGCAAACACCACATGGAAATATGTCACAAAGAACTCACAAAATATAAAGCGAAAAGAAATAAAAACACGGAAGTTATACTAGTCTGGTCACATATGCTGTAGCCAATATTATTTTCATTAGGGGTCTTTTTGGGAGATATTTTTAAAAAATTGAAAAAACAAAAAGATAAAACGGTACATATTGTTTAGATAGGCATCCCATAGTATTCATATCACTCCCCATATTGTTTCTCACACAAATGTTCTTCTCGTCTCTTTTTAAGGTTCCCTAGTAGTTTTTCACCACCCTAAATGTTAGGCAACAACGCATATGATGTTTATGTTTCCATATATTTAATAGGAAGATATTCATGTTAATTGGTGAACCATATGCAAATAAATACCTTACTAGGTTGTGTTACATCAAGCTAATCTATGTATTTTCTTGAATACAAATAATGGTGCCAATTTTCTCCATGGAGACGAGTATCAATGGGAATGCCCTCAAAATTGGTTCAATCACTTAATTGCCCTTCTTTATTACTGTTTCTTACAGAAATAATTGGACATACCATGAAAAATGAGGGTTAGGGTCAATTTCCCAAACCAGCTGGTGCTTTCTATGAGGGTTTACTCAAGAAATCCCTAAATTTTTTATTCAATGATTGAAAATGTAAAGATAAGGTTTATTTAAGAATTAAAGGTTAAAGATTAAAATAAATATTAAGGATAAACTTATCGAAACCAAAATTAAAAAAAATAATAAATTGGAGATACCAATAAATTAGATAGGCAACAAGGGCCTATAATAAGGTAAGGGCCTGAACGGGGCCCTTTTCTTTTTAAGGCTACTCATCTTTAGGCTTCACTTTTTATAGTTCAACCAGAAAATTTAAGAAAATTATTAATCCTAGTTTTTATTCGTATTCTAAATTTGCAGGAATAATAGTCATATATTGTTCATTATTTGGCTTCAATTCTAAAAACACCAAAAAATTTACTAGGTCTTGCTGAATTTTGGTCATAAAATCTAAAACTTTCAAAAAGATACCATATTAATAGCTCTTCAATTGAAGATCAAACACAAAAACGTCACTTAATTTTGATAATCACTAAGAATTTAATTTAATTATGAATGTTTATTGTAAATATAAATCTTTCTATAAACTTTAGAAAAAGAATATAATATTTTATTCCAACTATATCCTCACTAAACAAAGAATAGGATCTATTTGATTAATTTATTCAAGAACTAATTATAGGGATATTAAATTGGCTTATGTTATGCTATCATCTGAAGTTACCTGCACTTCATTGTTGGGGTAATGCTAAAAAAGGCTGAAAAGTAAGAACCAACCCCAATAATTGTATCGCATTTAATATGAAGAAAACCATCTGATCGCCTGCGTTTCAACAACTAAATAAATCACCATTATCCAAATGAAAATTAGCACAAGAATGAAAATATATTAATGGGATCACATGCTTCTATCCCACCCAAAGAGCCCTCTAATTCAGATATCCAAGAAACAAGTGTATTTCCAGCCTACCACTGCAATCTAGATAATCTGACCATAAATATTTAAGCATGGAGATGAGTGATTCCGGAAAATTTGAAAGTGCAAAGTTATTTTGTTGAGGGAATTAGTAAAAGCTTCAAATTTTGAATACTTTGTACTTTACAATCTATGTAGACTCTTAGTTTGAGAAATTAAGTTTGACTTGCTGACAAGATTCTTTGGAAAATTGATAATAAAGGATTATTCAAGTTATAAACTAGCCGATGTTTAGCATTAGCAAAACATGTGAAGGTACTTAGCAGGAGAGGGGACTGCAAATTTTGAAAAAACAATCCGATCAAATCCAAGTGATATAGCATTACCAATCAAAGCAAGTGAGTTGTGCACTTAAAAAGAAATATGTAGAATTTGCAATAAGAACAGAGAGCCGGAAGTTCCAAGTCCTCAAACACTTTATGTTTAGAATAGAACATTGTGATAAGTTACATACACACCTGGAAGGAAGGCAGTGTCTTGTCGCTTCTGTGCCCAAGAAAACCTGCAGTTTATAATGATAGACGTAGTCCATAAATGATTTGCCAGATATGATCAAATAAGCACATGAGCGTCCACACTAACACCGCAAGCAGTGATGCCTTAACTGTATAGTATACACACACTACAGTAAAGGATGAATGTAGGGGGTTAATTACATTGAGCAGTGCTGGGTACAGAAAACTTTTGTTAAATGCTACATTTGCAAATAACTTTTCTTATTCTCCAAAGTGTCACTTGACTTAAGCAACTGAGGCCACGCTGACACCCTTTCACAGCAGTTTCTTCTCTTTTTGTGATTATAAAGAAATTAACCTTTTTGGCTTTGTGTCCAAGATGAATACAAATTTTCAACACTAATAACTTGGTGCAAGAACAAGGTACTCTGTTTTAATCACAACTTGTTTCAACACCTTTGCAATCTTAATAATTATGAGCCAGATGGAGCAGCTAATGGCCATGAAACAAAAACTCCCGGCAGTGATTAGTACTCATAACCAACCTACTACGACCAACGATTTGGGCTTGAGTGTCTATACCATTGTCAGGTTGAACCATTGAAATTGAGGAAACAATACAAAACTTTACAACTTATGAAACTTTCATATCTGCATCCACAACTTGAACTCCAGGTGCTCAGTCAGTCCCCCTTTCCATCTTATTGATCAAATTGGTTGACATTTTGAATTTCAATGCCAAAAACACTTAGAGGATATCCTACATAAAGGGATTCAACCTCATCTAAGAGATTCTTAGCTGCTGAGAAAATATTTTCCCTCGGCATGCATCCTTTATGTCACCAATTTGCTATTTGAGAATGTTCACCATTTCTTCCAAGTGGCCTCCTGTTCTCTCTCTCTCTCTCTCTCCCCCTCTCTCTTTTATGGGTTTATTCTATGGTACTAGTAATGTGGTACATCATTTTAACATAAAAAATCTGATATATATTAGCAACCTCCTCTATGAGATTATTCACACTAGGTTCGCTATCCCACTGATTCTGTGGTTTGACTGCTGCATTATGATATTGAGCAATTGAACTCATTAGCATTTGTTCAATTGTAGCACTTTCTTTTATATGAACACTTGTAGTTTGGTTATGAGCACTTGTTGCAAGTTGGAGTTGCTTCTCAATAACAGTTGGTTGCTCCATTTGACTCATAAGTGTAAGATAAATCAAGGCAATGCAATTGAAGTAGGGTTTCCCCCTGGATCCAAATTGTTAATGCTGCAATTTGGACTGAGCTTGGACAGCAAGGGTTAAGTTGACTTTCTCTATAGTCACACAAGAAAAAAAGAGAAACAAGGAATTCTACAATGTTTTAGTAAAGCTTGTGCATCTTGGCTGAGGAAACTTTTTGGGTATTTATGGAGTTCTTGGAGAGTAATGCTAGAGATATAATGAATAGAGACAGTTTCATTATCAATCATGATGGGTCTTATCATTAGTTTCTTATTCCTATTGTTGTAATTTGTTATAATTTGTTAAAAGTTTCTTACATTTGTTTCTATAGATTTAAGATATATCGAATACCATAACTAAGTTTCAAAGTATATCTTTACACTTGAGAATGACCATGCAACTGATTAAAATATATTAGGTTCCCAAATATAGATTCAACAACATTGCACAAACACACAACAAAAAAATCTGAAGTGCATGTTTACTTACAGAACACCTCCTCCAGCTGGGCCGAATGCTTTGAAAACTGACATTGCAGTCATTGAAATGCCATTAGCTGCCCCTCTTTGACTTTGAGGCTATACTAGCAGCATCAGGTAGAATAAATGTATTATAACCAGAAATTGCACTAGGCAATAAAAAACAGTCCATATGTGAAAGAAAATAAAGAAAGACAACAATAGTTTCAGAAAATGGAGACTAAAATCATACCACAGCATTGTTTTGCAATATGAACAACCCAGTTACAAGGGAAACCTGAAAGATATTAAGAAAGCCAACATCTAAAACTCACCGATGTACTAAACAAAACAAAATCGTATGTAGTACTAGATATATATGATCATCATATTGTCCAACTCATCAAGTCAACATGTAACCCAGTAAGTTGACTAGCCAATGAAAAACATGTAACCCAGTAAGTTGACTAACCAATGAAAAACATGTAACCCAGTACAGAGTGAATTTTGTTCATATTAAAGCAAAATTCTTACACCCATTGAAATCGGAATCTAGTGGATGCAATGAAATAAGAAGGATAGATATAGAAGTCAACCTTCGAGGAGGAATGGCATAATTATTCATCCACTAGACATTGAAGCAAAATGGATATCGTCCATATATTTTCAGCATTCAACACTGAATGTACTTACCGATAGAGTATTCCTTAGTATTGATGCAAAGTTTATTGCCAAATATAGGGTTATCCCTGAGAGCATAGCTATATAAGGGTAACATGCCAATAGTGGGATTGATATTGCCTGAATAATGCAAGAATTAAATAAGTATTATCAATCCCAAGTAACTTTAAAAAAAATAAAATAAAAAATAAAAGAAATAAGACAATAAAATGCCTAAATTTTACCGCTGAAAACCGTGTAACCATAAGAGGCCCAAGGATTTTCTGAATTGGAGGATATAATAAAAGTTGAAATAGTAGAAGACAAAATCCTGAAATTATAAGTCCTATCATCAATGAATTTGCGCAAGAAGAATATAAAACTCAATAAGCACAAGTCATGTATTTTTCTATGATATATATGCTCACAAATGGAATTCTATGAAATAAAAGAGATAAACATGGCCCCCTTGGGAGGAAATCACTATAAAAGTTTGAACTTTAGAGAGTACAAGTTCTGTACAGAAGCTGGTGAAACATGGAATCACCATTGGGATCAGGACTTACGAACACTGACAAATATACCTAGGAACCCAAGCTCCAGGTTCACTTCTTCAGTAGTTTACTGTTTATATTCTCTTTCTAGAATGTTTTCTTTTTTGACTGAGATCTAAAACTAGTGAAATGTTAATATTATAAGTACACTGTTATGCCTTTATTTTCAACATGACATGTGTCATATACACCATTGTCCCCAGCAGAATTAGATGCCTGAATCCTGATTGCCAAAGTGAGCACCCTCCCTAAATGGCCAAGGTGATCACCTACAAAGCAAAGGGAAGTAAAGAAAAAAAAAAAAGGAAACATTGCCTAAATGCAGTCCCCATTGGATGATAGTTCTAAAACACAGTAAATTTCCAAGAAGTGAGGAAATCATTAAATTCATTTGCACGGTACACAGGTACAGATTATGTATACCCCTAAGCCAGTGAAACCTGGAATCAACATTTGGATGAGGCCTTCTAGACTCCTACAAATACCCCTAGGAGTCCAAGCTTGGTTCACTTCTCACTAATTTACTCTTTATATTCTCTTTCTGGAACATTTTAGTTTGCAATGACATAAAAAGAGAAAAAGAGAAAATGTTAATATTTTACTTATATTGTTATGCGTTGATCTTCAACATGACACATGTCATATTCAACACTGTTGCCTGAGGCATTGGGTGCCTAATTACCGAAGTGAACACACTCCACCTAAGAAGCAAAGGGAAACAACAAAATATGAAAAGGAAATCCATGGTTTAAACGCAGTCCAAGTTTGGCAATGAGTCCTAAAAAACAGTAAATTTCCATGAAGTGATGAAATCAATAGAAAAGTTTGTAATGTAGATGGTATAAATTTCGTACACCCATAAGCCAGTGAAAAGTGGAATTCCTACTAGGATCAGGTCTCCCAGACACCATAGATACCCCCTTAGGAATCCAAGCTCCAAATTTTCATCGCTAATATATTATTTATATTCTCTCCCTGGAAATAATGAGTTTACAATCATCTCTCTCGAGGAATCCATAAATGAAATCGGAGCTGAGTATTAAAAGGTCTGCAATGGCAAAACCCCTAACAATCTTCTGTTTTGCAAATAACCGAACACAACCACCATTACCACAACATATGATTGCCAAACTCCTATGCCAGATGCCAAAGGTTGGACTCTTAACCAGAAATAGTTTTGTCATTAAGCAAGTTGGTTCCATCAACTAATAGAAAGCTCCTATGAAGTGCAATACTAGATATCACACCTCTTGTATTATAGGTGAAAATGTGATTGATAAAGTTCTGATTGATTAGGAGTAAGCATTAATCTATTGCCATATTCATTATATGGGCGGCTAGGCCAAGGAGAATTGAACTCACTTTTGTGACACTTCAATTAGTGCATAGTGTCTAATAAAAAGTCTTAGATGGGTAAAAAAGGTATTCTTATGATGGTTAATAAAGTATCTACTTCTAAATGGATAGCATAAATAATCTCAATTCAAGTAAAATTGTGCAAGCTTCAAATTGCATATGCTATATTTTGACAGCCATGGGATAATACAATCACAGGGAAATGCACCTGATATAGATAAAACTTCACCCACGTCTTGAGATGAAAAGCTCAAACCTCCATACTTTTTGTCACTGACTGCCCAAAGCGAGAAAATCTACAAAACAATGATAAATGTCACGAATTATGGACTTAGAACTCAAAGTATGACCACCATCTATTTAACAAATTGATCAACATCTAAGTTTTAGATTTGGCTAAAATGTCATTATGGAAGTAACTAATCAAAATCAAGTTTTGGATTTGGCTAAAATGTCATTATGGAAGTAACTAATCAAAATCAAGTTTTGGATTTGGCTAAAATGTCATTGTGGAAGTAATTGATCAACATCTTAGTTTTTTATTACCTAAAATGTCATTATGGAAGTAACTGACCAACATGAAACTATGCCATTATGAAATTGACATCTAGAGTCCCTCTAAAATACAATCACTATCAATAGTTCCAAGTAACCTCTTTTCAAGGACCTAAATTATGACTTCTTTACTTTTTAGGATCCTTGTATTCTCAAAAGAACAATCTCTACCACCAACTTGACCTATCCTCCAATGTATCTCTATCTACCAGGTTAGTCTTTTCCATCTCATATTTTGAAAAAATTTCCACCATCCTTGTTTTACAAAAACAATTTACCAATATTTAGTTATCCATTCAAACATACTACTGACATATCAAGCATAAGGTAGGTCAATAATAGAGAAGAAATAACAGATAAATTAATTTCTTTTTCCTTTCAAGGGATAGAACTGAATTATTTGGATATTTAAACTCACATGTCAATGTTTAATGAAATTCTACCTTTTCCTCACTAACTCATGTCAATCACTTTAAAAATTGAAAACAAATAAAACTTGGTTGATGATTTAAGGGAAATTAACTTTACTTCAGTGTATGCAATCTCTTGAAGTGAAAAAATGCAGTATACGGTGATAGTAGACATTAAAGGCCAATTCTTTAAAAGATTTGCTTTATGAGATGTTTTTCTTTCTTCAGCTTCTATCAAATCTTCTGAGCCAAAAGATTCATTTGAAGAAGCTCCCAACCTGTCACGTGGTTCATAACTTTCATCTAATGTTGTACCATGCCAGTGCATTGTCTCCTGCATATGCATGATTAGAGATGCTTCATAAGATACCACCCGAAGTGATGAAAAAAAGAATGTAATTAGCAGTGTTGTGAAATTTGAAAATATTATTGTAATAAAAAAGAGACAGAGAGAGAGAGAGAGAGAGTGAAAATATCTAAGAAATGTAAACCACTAGTTGAATGCGTCAAAACCCTTTTTTTTTTTTTGCCAGAGAAAAAGATACTATATTAGAATAATAATATACAAGAACCCCAAAAAACTATACAGGATGAAAAACACATCTCCTAATCCAAAATTATCAAAGCAAAAAAATCAAAAACTGCAGAAAATCTTTCCTTGGTTATGCACAGAGTTCCCCAACTGTGTTGAATAAAGAAGAAAGAAACTTCCTGAAAGTCAGAAGTAATATCTTCAAAAAATTTCCTATTTCCTATTTCTTTCTAGCCATAGAACCCAAAATTACTTTATCCCACATAGACAAGACATTTTCCTCGGTTATATCTTCAAAAAATTTCGTATTTCCTATTTCTTTCTAGCCATAGAAACCAAAATTACTTTATCCCACATAGACAAGACATTTTCCTTGGTTATATCTTCAAAACTTTTCCTATTTCTTTCTATCCATAAGAACCCAAAAAACTGCCATAACTACACAACTCCATAACACAACAGGTTTTCTTCTACCTCCCAAAAAAATAAAAAATTAAAATTAAAATTAAAGGAATCAACCATTTTCAGAAACAGGAGTCCAATTCATTTCAACTAAGATGATAACAGCCTTCAAATAAAAAATAAATGGCAGACAGAAACAGACCAAAGAGCAACTCAACTTTTTTTTTCAAGAAAGACAAGATTTGTAGTGGAATAAGTGCTATACAAGTCTAGCCATGGCTATAGTAAGATGATGCAGAAAAGCGAAGATCTCGGAATGAAACTTCAAACTTGACAAAATCTATTGCACACAAATAACCAGCCAGAATAACCATAGGCCTGTCTCTGGAGATAATCTATTCCATTCTTCATGAGCCACAGGCAAATATATTTGGTGAAAAAATACCCACACAACTTGAAAAGTGTCTTTAACTAGTGATTATCTCTGTCCTCTTCTTCAACCGCACTATAGACTTTGGTGGACCAGTCTCCTTGTTAAAAGTAAGCTCTACAGCCATCCAAAACAGGAGAAAGTTCTAAGCATTTACAGCAGAACATTATTAGAAGTAGATATCTGCATAAGGAATCCCCCAAAAAAGCTTTTTACATTTATAATAATTCTCCTGCCTCCATTGTAATTCATGGCCACACCCAACCAAACAAAATCTCCGCTTCAGAATCAATGCACAATTCCCATAAATTTATGCAACAAACATCTAAGAAAAGCGTCCCAAAGATTTCTTTTTCAATTTACTTGGCTGATGAGAAAAATGAGAATACAACAAAAATCATAATGACCAAACGGAAACTGATATTACAATGCATTTAAATGACCAAGAGGAAACTGACATTAAAAAGTAGAAATCAATACAACTACAAATATGAGGTCCCAAACTTATCAGTTCTGTCAGTCACCACAATCATCAATATTAGTGTTGTCACATGGATGGGATGAACTATTTGATTATTGATAGACCACCACCCATTAATATGGTCTATAAGTCAAGGGGTCGTAAAAAGAGCACTAAGGGGTAATGAGTGTGAGTCAGAGTTAGTTATGGGATTATGCATGCAAGTGGCTGGATAGAATAAAGTTTGTTAAGAGTAAGGTTAGTTTAGTAAGTATATGGGTATAAATAGCTAGAGAGTGGTAAGGGAGGGATCAAGTAAATTCTGATAGGTGATTAAAGGAGGTTCTCAACTCCTCGAATTGCTAGGGATCGATCTGTGGGTTGCTCTTTCTTGAGTCGCCATTTCTTTCAATATATTAATATCATTCAGATTTATCAGATTGTGTGTCACTTTCTTTTCTGCTCGTGTGTTGCGGTTGGGTTGGATTAATTGGACAGGTGGTTCCATCAATTTGGTATCAAAGCTAAGTTGGGTAATGGTAAATTCCAAGATGGAGAACAAAATGGAAAATGTGGAAAAAGAAATGAAAACCGTGAAGGAAGATATGGGCACAATGAAGCCGGACTTAGGAAGTGTCAAGGAGTACTTAACGGAGATGCGTGAATTGATGCAACTGAGGGAGGAAAGGGAGGAGAAACGTTATCGGGAGAAGGAGAAAATGTCTTCATCTCCAGAAAATCAGAGTTCCGACGGAGATAAGGGATATGAACGAAATCACAGTAGGGATAGCGGGAAGGACGACAAGAAGATTCACAAACTCGAGCTGCCAATTTTTAACGAAGATGATCCTTTTGGTTGGACCTTCAAGGCTGACCGATACTTCGCCATTAATCGATACGAAGAAGCGGAGATGGTAGAGGCCGCCGCTATGTGCATGGAGGGAAGAGCCTTAAACTGGTATCAATGGTTAGAATCTCAGAGACTAGTTCAGAATTGGAGGGATTTCAAAGCCGCCTTAATTGCCAAATTCAGACCATCCTCTCAAGGGACAGCTTATGAGGCACTGGTAGCATTGAGACAGACTGCGTCGGTGACGGAGTATCGCTAAGAATTTGAAGCACATACAACATCGTTGAAGGACTTGGGAGAAGATATGCTAATGGGTATCTTTGTCAATGGGCTAAAAGAAGAAATCAAAGCTGAATTGCGCCTCATACAGCCCAAGGAGTTAGGTGAAGTTATGGAGCAAGCCCACCGAGTTGAAGAAAAAAATTGGGTGTTGGATAAAATTAGGCCCAAAATTACTAAAGCCCAAAGTGTAAAAACTGAGGGTTATTCATAGGTTTCTGCAAGCCCAGAGATTGGGCGACCCAGTTGGTGGTCCAACACCATTAAACCTTCAGGCGAGGCGTACTCCTCGCCAAGTCGATTTGTCGATAGGAGAGAAATACCACCAGTGACAACAGCTTCGAGTTCCAAAGGGGAAAATTTTCGAAGGTTAACGGAGGCAGAAATTCAACACAAAAGGGAGAAGGGTCTTTGTTTTAGGTGTGATGAAAAGTTCAACCCTAACCGCCGATGTAGAAGCAAATCTCTACAGATCTTGCTGGCATGGGAAGACAATGATCCAAAGAAGGGAGAAAAACCACCAGACAACAATGAGGAACCCACTACTGAAGGTAACCCTCTAGCTTTATCTATGAACTCTATTGTCGGAATCACCTCTGACAAGACTCTGAAAATTAAAAGGGAGATTGAAGGGGTGGGGGTTATTGTGTTGGTAGACAATGGGGCGTCCCACAATTTTATTTCAGACGACTTGGTGCGAAAGTTGGGCATGCAAATTGAAAAAGGAAAATGGTTTGGGGTGATGGTGGGTGATGGTGGGTAATGGTGTCACGATGAGAGGAGAAGGCGTTTGTAGGGGATTACAACTGGAGGTTCAAGGCGTTAAGATTACCCAAGAATTTTTTTCCTTTTGATTTGGGTGGAGCTGATGTGGTATTAGAGGTGACGTGGCTGAGTTCATTAGGCGATATTTGCGCAAATTGGAAGAATTTGACAATGAAATTTGAGTTGGGGGCAGAAGGGTGAGTCTATAGGGAGATCCATCCCTGGTTAAGATGGTGGTCTCTCTAAAAGCCATGTTAAGGTCATTCTATACCGCAGGAGGAGGCTATTTAGTCGAATTTTGTTTTACCGAATGTGTGCCAAAACAGAACAGAGACCCCACCGATCCTAGGATTGTCTCATTAATGGAAGGGTATAACCATTTGTTTGACCAGCCCATGATAATCCAAGGATTATACTGTTTTTATTAAGCTTTTTGGTCGAATTTTAGATATTTCTTAGTTCATTTTGACCTGAATTGCTGCTTAATTTTATACATTTTGTGTTTCAGGCAAAAATGGGCATTTTGAGCAAAAAATGAGCGATTTAGAGTTTCTGGACCCAGAAGTAAGCAGATCTCAGAATTTGAGAGAGTTCTGAAGCAGAGTAAAGCACTATGAAGCTTGTTCCCATGGGAGAGCATCGAGGATCGAAGAATCAAGCAAAGAAGCAAACACGAGAGTTCTTTTTACTTCGTCGCCACGGCGAGATTCCTTCTTCGCTGCGGCAAAGTCTGCGAATTTTATTTTTCTCTAAAACGCACAGTTTCATTTTAGGTAAAGTCTTAGGTTTTTGGGCGAACTATAAAAGCAAAACTTTGCCATTTTGAGAGGAAGCCGTTTTTAGTCTAGAGCAGCTTATTTTCATCTTCCTTAGTTTAGATTTGACGAATTTCGGGGTTGAAAAGTGAGAAAATTTGGGATTGAATCTAGTGGGTTCTTCAACTAGGGGAGATCTCTTGTCTTTTCTCTCATTTCAATATGGTGAACCTTGTGTTTATTGTTTTCTTGTTGTGTATTTTGATTTAGCTATAAACTAACCCATTTTGAGTTAGGGTTTTGATGTAATTCGGATTTCCATGGATTGAGCAATTGATTTTTGTTATTTTCATAGGCTATTGCATGGATTGTGTAGTTATTCTGATTTTATTATTTTTAATTGATGAACATGATGAGATTGAGAAATGAGTCATGTTAAGCTTCTTGGGTAATCACCATTGTAGTATTGAATGCTAGAGATAGATTTGAGAATCAATGAAATCAATCTAGGATTCCATGTGCTTAATGAGCTTAGAACTATTAATCTTCAAATTGTTGGATGCGGAAATTTAATAGGGAAAAGTAGGAAAACATAGCCTGAGAATATATGTTTTACAATTTAGAAAATTCGATTTACAATCAATGCATGTGAATATGGAAATAGCATAATCCAGAGGTTTAATCCGTAAAGTCCGAATGAAGTCAAAACTCTACCTGTTTATTTAAATTGATATTACCTTGTTTCTAATCTTGCTTTCATAATTTTAGCTTCGAATATTTAGTAATTTTTGTTTTAGTTTTAGTTTAATTTTCTCCCATTAATCCAAATAAATTCGATTGCTCCAACTTGAAAACAATAGA